AAGGAAGAGGTAAAATTACCTGTTTACACATGACATGATTATAGAAAAGCCTAAAGAAAACAAAGTATTAGAATAAACATATTCAGCATAATTGTAGGATACAAAAATCAACATACAAAAATCAGCTGTGTTTCTATACACTAACAATATATAATCCAAAGAGGAACTTAAGAAAACAATTCCATTTACAGCAGCATTACAAAGAATAAACAGGTACATACTTAACCAATGAAGTCAAATACTTGTATATTAGAAACCATAAATCACTGATTAAAGAAATTATAGAAGACAAGTTGCATGCGGTGGCTCATGCCTGTAATCCCAGCACTTTGGGAGGCCGAGACGGGTGGATCACGAGGTCAAGAGATCGAGACCAGCTTGGCCAACGTGGTGAAACCTCGTCTCTACTAAAAATATAAGAAATTAGCCGGGCGTGGTGGCAGATGCCTGTAGTCCCAGTTACTCGGGAGGCTGAGGCAGGAGAATGGCGTGAACTCAGGAGGCGGAGCTTGCAGTGAGCTGAGATCATGCCACTGCAATCCAGCCCGGGGGACAAAGTGAGACTCCACCTCAAAAAAAAAAAAAAATTATAGAAGACAAATAAATAGACATTCCAAGCTTATGGAATAAAAGACATAATATTGTATTTTATATTTTTTATTTTTTTTAAGATGTTCTCCTGTCCAAGCTGGAGTGCAGTGCTACAATCATAGCTCACTGCAGCCTCCAACTTCTGCGCTCAAGTGATCCTCCTGGCTCAGCCTACCATGTAGCCGTGACTACAAGCACACACCAACACACCCAGCTAATTTTTCATATTTTTGGCAGAGATGAGGTCTCGCTGTGTTGCCCAGGCTGGTCTCAAGCTCCTGGCCTCGAGCAATCCTCCTGCCTCGGCCTCCCAAAAGTGCTGAGATTATAGGTGTGAGCCAACACACCTGGCCAAAATATTGTTAAGATGTCATTACTACTCAAAGTGATCTACAGATGTAATACAATCACTATCAAAATCCCAACATTGGGCCAGGTGCACTGGCTCACGCCTATAATCCCAGTATTTTGGGAGGCTGAGGCGGATGGATCACCTGAGGTCAGGAGTTCGAGACCAGTTTGGCCAACGTGGTGAAACCCCCATCTCTACTAAAAATACAAAAATTAGCTGGGTATGGTGGCGGGCGCCTGTAATCCCAGCTACTTGGGAGGCTGAGGCAGGAGAATCGCTTGAACCCCGGAGGTGAAGGCTGCACTGAGCCGAGATGGTGCCACTGCACTCCAGCCTGGGCAACAGAGCAAGACTCCGTCTCAAAAACAAAACAAAACAAAACAAAATCCCAACATTTTAGCAGAAACAGAAAAATACATCCTCAAATTTGTATGAAATTGCAGGGGACCCCAAATCCAAAACAGAAAAATACATCCTCAAATTTGTATGAAATTGCAGGGGACCCCAAATCCAAAGCAATCTTGAAAAAGAAGCACAAACTCAGAGAATTTACACTTCCTGGTTTCAAATCTGACTAAAAAGCCACAGTAAGCAAAACACTGTAGTGGTGGCATAAAGACAGACACGGAGACAGACTGAACAGAACAGACAGCCCGGAAATCAGCTCTCCACACTCTATGCGTCAGCTGAGTTTTGGGTGCCAAGACCCTTTCCAACAGGATCGTCTTCTCAACAAAATTACGTTGGGGATACTGGATATCCACAACCAAAGAACTCAGCTGGGCCCTTAGCTTATAGCATATACACAAATTACCTTCCAAGTGGACCAGAGATCTAAAGTGAGTGTGAAAACTATAAAACTCTTAGAAGACCTCCTAGGGAAAAAGCTTCATGAGATTAGCTTTGGCAATGGTGTTTTGATATTACATGAAAGGCACAGGCAACAAAAAGAAAAACAAATTGAACTGCATCAAAATTAAAAACTTTTGTGCATCAAATGACACTATCAACAGAGTGAAAAGGCAACTCACACGATATGAGAAATTATTTGTAAACCATCTATCTCCAAGGGATTCCCATCCAGACGATATAAAGAACTGCAATTCAACAACAAAAACAACTCAATTGAAAAACGGGTAAAGGACTAGAACTGACGCATCTCCAAAGAAGATATATGACTGGCTCACAAGCCTATGAAAAGCTGCTCAACTTCCCTCATCACCAGGGCAATGCAAGTCAAAACCACAGTGAAGTACCACTCCATGCCCATTACGATGGATGTCATAAAACAAAAACGAAAAAACAGAACATCACAAGTGCTGGCAAGAATGTGAAGACAGAGAAAACCTTACCTCTTGCTGGTGGGAACGTAAAATGATACAGCTGCTATGGAAAACAGCATGGCAGTTCCTCAAATAATTAAAGATAGAATTCCTATATGATCCAGCAAGTCTACTTCTGGGTAGATAACCAAAGAACTAAAAGTAGGAAATTGAACACATATTTGTATGCCTATGTTCATAGGAGCATTATTCATAGTGGACAAAAGAGAGAGACGCCAAGTACCCATCAGCAGATAAATGAATGGACAAAATGTCTACACAGGCAACGAAATGCAATTCAGCCTTAAAAAGGAAGGAGAGTCTGACACGCTGCAGCGTGGATGAACACTGAGGTCATTATGCTAAGCGAAATAAAACAGTCACAAAACACCAGGTGCCTTTTGGCGCCAGGCGCCAGGGCTGATGTCTATAAGCCCAGCACTTTGGGAGGCCAAAGTGGGTGGATCGCCTGAGGTCAGGAGTTCAAGACCAGCCTGGGGAACATGATGAAACCCCATCTCTACTAAAAATACAAAAATTAGCTGGGTGTGGTGGCGGGTGCCTGTAATCCCAGCTACTCGGGAGGCTGAGGCAGGAGAATCACTTGAACCCGGGAGGCGGAGGTTGCAGTGAGCCGAGATCGCGCCACTGCACTCCAGCCTGGGCGACAAGAGCAAAACTACGTCTCAAAACCAAAACAAACAAAAACCAGTCAGAAAAGGACAAATATTGCATGATTCCACTTCTATGGGGTCCTTAAGAGTCATCAAATTCACAGAGACAGAAAGTAGAATGGTAGTTGGCAGGGGTGGGGGGAAGGGCTGATGGGGAGTGAGTATTTAATGAGGACAGATTTTTCCAGATAACAAGATGTAAAAGTTCTGGAGGTGGATGCTGGTGATTGCTGTACAACGACGAAGGTACATAATGCCACTCAACTGTGCACTTAAAATTCATCAAAATGGTAAATTTGATGTTATACATATCTTACCACAAGAATAAAAAGAAGTCTAGTCCTAGCACTTACCTTGAAATGGTGTTTGGAGAAACAGGGCATATTGTCTGCGTGTTCTGGACCCTCCTCACTCTGGAGCCGGCAGCCTCCCGGGCACAGCTCCCAGCAATGCTGCGCTGGGGTGGACAGAGCTGAGGTTCATGGTCACTGAGCTGCTGCCTGAAGGGCTCCAGACTCCAGGTCCTTGATCTTTCCACATGGCGCTCACGAGATGCCGGACTTTCACCGGGGAGGGGCTATCTCCTGCCTTGACCACTCCAAGGTTGGTTTTCCCAACAACCAGGGGAACAGTGTGGGCGATTCTCGCAGCGGGCTGGGCCTCCTCCTCACCAATAGCACCAGCTTCAGACTCCTGTTCTCCAGTGTGAAAGACATGTCCCCCAACCCTAACGCCACCCACACATCTGCACAGACACCAGGCTTCACGGAGCGCAAGACGACTCACACAGTGGCCTAGGCCTCGTCACTGGACGATCGGAGGAGCATGGTCCCCGCTCAGGCCTGACGCCCGCAGGACACCAACCAGCTGCCAGATGAGCACGCAATCACTCCTCATTTGCAAAGCACTGCTCCCATCTTTCCAGGACCCGAGACATCGTCTCACAAAGACAGCTCTCTGCAAGGAACTGGGAAGTAACTTGAGTCCGGTCAGACTGGCAAAAGCCAGCCCCTCGGCCTTGACCTGTGGCCCAGGAGCAGCATGGGAGCTTCGAATCAGGCTGGACGGGCTTCCCTCCCAGTTTCTCCAGGCCTTGGACAAGCTTCTCACCTTCTCTGAGCTGGAAACCCCCTCTCTATAAAGTGGGGAAGTGCCCCTCTGGGCTGAGGGCTGCAGCCCAGCACAGAGACCTTGATGACAGCTGCCAGTACCACCCACTGCAAACCAGTCCGCACCCAGACCATAACCCAGCAACACAACTGTAATCTCAAGCTGCCCAGGGACATCTAGTCAAGGCCCTTTCATTTGACCCTGCGATGGGATTTGGGTAAACTCACCTCCGTGGTAGCCTGGAACGATGGAGGATAAATGAAAGGCAAGGAGAGTTAAGAGCTGGAGAAGGTTCTGTGGTCTGGGGCAGAGGCCCAGAGAGGGCTACCCCCATCCCCTGGGTCCTGTAAAGGGCCGTCTTCCTCGAAAAGACTTAACACTTCCTAACAGGCAAGTCCTTTCCAATTCAGGGCCCATCATGTTAGCCCTGGAGCGGCAACCCCATCCCTCCACCCTGCTGTTTCTGACATCATGGTGTGTGCTCCTTGGGGACCGTCCCTCCCACACGAGGGCAGGCCTGACCCACAGTACACATTGGATGAAGGACAATGAGGAGGTAGAGATGGGCACAGAGTGCTTCATGCTGAGCCTCCGGGCATGCTTCGGGCACACTCCACACACGTTACATGGCAGCAGTCTTGAAACACATGAACACAGCCGAGGGCTCCAAGAGTCTGGCACGCCAGCCCGCTGCTGAGGTCGGGCCGCCATTCCTCGTCGCCTTGACAGAATATGCTCTGAACTGGCTTCCCACGTGCCACGTCATGACGTCCCCTGTGATAACAGCAGCACAGTACCTGCCAGGCAGCGCACGCTGTCACCAAGAGGCTACGCTGAGGAGCCCACACTGTCTCTGGGGCCTCTGGTTCCCAAGGGGCTGAGGGACACTGAGAGGGAAGAAACAAACCCCTCATGGGAACAAGCATTTTAACATAAATAAGGGACAATAAACCCTTTTATAAAATATTTATTCTAAAAAAAATCACACTGTACAAATTTAGATAGAACATTCTCAATGTTCAGATTTATAAAAATGTGAACAGAAAGACTAAAGGTAGCGAAGGAACATACATTTCTGTTTTGTCTTTTTAAATTAGGAAGGTAAAAGTGATTTTTTATTCAGGTGCAATGATAGTAAATGTCTAGAAGACATCTGAAGAGCCGGAAATAAAAAGCACAGGAGCTGCCTGCAGACTCTCAGAGTTCTGTCTTCACCCGCTGAATCCAAAGTGGGTGCGTGTGGCGCTCCCGCAGGGTGATCTGGCCCTGTGGATCCACGCCGGACACTCAACGAGACTCCCAAGGCTGGCTGCGTACAGCCTAAAAGTTTGTGCTCAGAGAAAAACCAGCACGATGGGTTCATCATCTGTTTCTCAAACCAAACGGGTTTTCTGTACACTTGTTACAAAGGTCTGTACAAAAGCAGGAAGCTGCTGTGAGGTGTTATTTCCGAAAGAGTTAAAAATGGATGGTAAGGAGCGGTTCGCACAGTCCCGCCTGTACGTTCACAGACAGAGGACACCATAAAAAAAGGGCTCACTCAGAAATTCCAGACCGGAGAATCCTGGTTTCTTAAAAGATTATTTTAAAAGCTTGGAGGAAGTTTCAGCTCTGCCACTTCTAACCGCCTCGCCCAGCGTCGTCATAGTTCAGCTTCCTCTAAAACTAAATTCTCCCTCTCACACACCAACTACCAGGAAAATAACTGCAACCCAGTGGAACCGCGGGGCTTCTGAGAATAAAAGGAACGAGGCAGGGACAAGTCGTATAAGCTGCGGGCTCAGAGCCCAGGGCGCCCTTCACATTGCGGGTGGCCGTGGCGGCCGCGGTCACAGCCAGGGGTGCCAGGCGGGGTCCATGCGGCACAGATTGTCCAGGCTGTTCGCTGCGGCCACCAGGGTGTTCACCTTGCTTTCCCCACCTTCGAACTGGGCGAGGTTGTGTAGGCGGGTCATGATGGCGGTGACGGCTTTCTGAACCAGGGACACCAGTTGCTGGCTGTCCATGTTCTCCGGCTGCCCGGCGGCCGAGAGAGGAGAGGACGTGTCCTCCTGCGTTTTTTTGTGCCAAGCAATGATCTCATCCCGGAGAACCGTTTTCAGAATGCCGTCCACCTGCGTGAGGGAGAGAACGAGAGGACGTGTGTTTAACCAAGAACAGCCCAGAGGGGCAGCTTCCTAACAGGGTGGGACTCAACCACAGTGGCCGCCCAGGGCCACCGAGGGCCAGTCAAGCCTCAGCACCAGGCCAGGCTGTGTGCTCTCAGGACGGGCTGGGGAAGCCGCTGAGGGACAAACCCCTTCCTCCACTTGGAGCAGCAGCCAGAAAGCCTCAGTGTTGGGCAGCACAGACCTGGATGGCAAAGGCAGCCATGCTGCGACTGGGGCCCGATCTTTTTATGTGTTCACTTGACGCCTTCCAGCGTCTGCCCAGTGTCCAGCAGGCCCATTCCAAGCACTACAGACAAGAGTGAACCAAAGAGAAAACCATCCCTTGCCCGCACAGCAAAGGACATAACACGGGTGCCGGCCACTGTGGAGAACGCAGAGCCTGTGAGGCAGATCAGCAGCTCCTGCAAGGCCATGGCACGTGGGCATCTGAGTGGCCCCAGCCTGTGCCCGTGATAGGACGACGCGGAGACCCACCTTAAAGTTCGGCTGGGCGAAGCACCGGGCAACCGCAATCATGGATGCCGTCAACGGGCCGGAGACACCGATGGTAGTCAGAAACTCAGAAATGTTGGGCGTGAGTCGAAACGGGACAGGACGGTTGGCATCTAGGTCTCCAGTGGCGTCGTTTATGTCAAACCGAAAGTAGGCAACATTCAGTTTGCCAGTGTCCTAAATTTCAGAAGGAGACACTTTAGGAACTTCAGCAGAAAGGCAATGTCACGAGGAGAGGATCTGGCGGTTCAAACCAGGTTACCTGAGCGATCTGTAACATCTCGGGGTTGAGTCTATTTAAATGCAGGACGAATTCCGCGAAGCCTATCAGAGCCAGCTGGATGGTGAACATCTTCCGGAACGTCCAGTAGTCCGTGGCGTTGGGGAAGGTGTGCAGCGCCCACTCCTTGAGCATGCTGCGTGGCACCATGTTACTCTGAACCTCCTTCAGGATGTCGCGGAGGACCTGAAACACATCGCCCCGTGACACTCCCATCTCACTCACTGATTTTTTTTTTTTTTTGGCAAAAGAAAAACTCTCAAATTGCAATTCCTCTTTAACTTAGCACCGAGAGTAAATTCTGGTGACAGATTTAACGCGCGCATTGTTAGGAGACTGAACGTGAGGAGGCACAAGATGGCTGCTTCCCTCCAGGGTTTGCCGCCGTCTGCTCTAAAGCACCAACGCAGCTGGTCTGCGCCAAAGCCGCAGTTACCTGACATGCGATACCTGACAAGAATGCAGGCAAGTATCTGACACTTCCACCCTTGCTGACCACAGAAGGTATCAGGCCAATTAACAGAACACAACAGCCGGACACCAGCAGCACCACTTCCAACCAAGACTTTATACTAATGACCAATGTTTCACAAACTGAAGGAGCTGGTCTAACCACACACACACTCGAGACTGAACTCCGTACTCATGGACTATTGCAGACATCACCAACTCAGAAAGTTTCCTGAGTTAATGGAGTTCCTGTTCGACCATCTGGTAGAGGCACAGGGTCTCTTCCAGACTAAGTCCTACCCACGTGCTCCGAATGGCCGTGAGGCAGAACGTGAGAAAGGCCGTGAGAAAGTTCTTGCCTTCCACCGGGAAGAACAAGGCAGGCCACTGGCCACACACGCAGTTTGTTTCCTCATCTGTCAAATGGGAAGGAGCACTTCTGAGATGGCAAAGGATTTCCAAAATCTGCCTCTAAAGCAGTTAGAATGCTGGCAAAACCACCAAAATCAACTTTGTCAGAACTCTAGGAACTAAAGGCTTACAAGTCTGAGGAGCTTTTTAAAAAATTTATTAAAAAAAAAACAAAAAAACAAACGCTGGGCTGGGCATGGTGGCTCACGCCTGTAATCCCAGCACTTTGGGAGGTCGAGGCGGGCGGATCACAAGGTCAGGAGTTTGAGGCCAGCCTGATCAACATGGTGAAACCCCGTCTCTACTAAAAATACAAAAATTAGCCAGGCATGGTGGCGGGCACCTGTAATCTCAGCTACTCAGGAGGCTGAGGCAGGAGAATTGCTTGAACTCAGGAGGCGGAGGTTGTGGTGAGCCGAGATCATGCCACTGCACTCCAGCCTGGGCGACAAGAGCAAAACTCCATCTCAACAAAAAAAGAGAAAAAGAGAGAAGAATGAAGGAGTAGAATAAATAACGAAACAAACAAGAGGCACATAGAGGAGGAAGTGGCTCTGAAGCTGGATTCCTCTGTGCTGTGGGCATCTCCCTCTGCCGACAGGCCCTGACAGCCGCTAACCTGGAACAAACATCCCAGTTGGACACTCACGCTGTTTAGAAACAGGATGACTCTGGGGTCAGCACGTATTTGTCACTGGCTTCCACGCTGTCGAAAGTTAATGTTGCCTTAAGAATATAATCCATTCTTCTCCTGCAAATACCTCAGAACTGCCCATTGTCCACAGAATGACCAGGCCATGGCCTGTGCCACAAAAAAGCCCTGGCGTCAGTTCCCACGAGAGGCCATGCACTCTGTCAACAGAGGCTGATCAGAAACAGGGATCCATGCCTCTGCCTGCAGAGCTGGAGGCTGCACCTGACCCTGCAGCCTGGAACACCTTGGGCCCTGCCGTGCCCTGGGCCACAGAGGACACCATGGGCTCAACCTTCCTCAACCACACTAAGTCCTCCAGGAGCCCGGAGACCTGGAATGAGTCCCTGGGAGACTTGGGGCAAGGTCGCAGCATCCACCTCTGTGGTCTCTCCTTCTTGGGACCTACAGAAAGGACCACGGGGCACCCGGGGAGAGGCCGAAACAGCTGCCCCTGGGTGCTCCACACAACCCCCCAAAAATCTCCTCACCCAAAGCCCATGCCTGCCCTGCCTCCCACCAAGGGCAGAAACGTGCAGGTGAATGAGGGGCCTCTGCACCTCCGAGGGGCTGCAGGCCAGGGCCACCCAAGACTCCTGTGGGCACCATGCTCCTGGCTCAGGCAACCAAAACAGCTGGGCCCCACGCACTCCAGAGTCTGTCGCTTTTTGTATTTTAGAAAACAGCACACATGCCGCACATCGCCTAACGCCCCCAGCAGCAGACCAGGTGAACAGCAACATGAAGTGGATGAATGAAGACTGTAAACAGCCTCCCATCACCTCAGACCAGGTGTGGCTGCCAAGTGAGACTGCCAGAAACTTACTTCAAAATTCTAATTTCAGAGCTTCTTTGTAAGTACAGTAGAGGACAAGGGGCTTCTCCAAGGTCGAGGACTGACCCGCGTCCGGTCATAACAAACCGTTCACGACAAGTGTCCTCTCACCAAGGTCAAGAGCTGTCTCATTTCTACCATCTCACGAGTCTAATAGTTACTTTAAATGACAGAGGTGGCCCCCAACAAATGCCCGCTCATCTTCTAAGCACCCCTGTCTCCAGGCACCGCCCCACGCAGGAGGGCTGCAGGTGGCAGCTTGGCCCCTGCCCAGCCCCGCTGCTACCTGGTGGCTGGCTTGGGTTCCCCGCGCCTGCACCGTAGCCAGCCGGTCGTAGTAACGGGAGATGGGGTTGTCGTGCTCGATGCCCTTCTTGGCGCAGCGCTGCTTGTAGATCTCCACAAGGGAAAGTGAAGAGGGGTTGTCCTCCACGAGGCGCATCTGCGGGGAAACCGCCACAACCCGGGGCACTGGGGAGAGGGGAAGAAAAACAGGGCAGGCTGAGGGTGACCGCAGGCCAGTGCTTGGCTCCACTGGGAGCAGAGCTGACCCAGCTGTGTGCCTTGGGGGCTGGCTGGAAGAACCCGGTGGTCATGCACCATCCATTTACCCAACAGATGGCACGAGGCTCTGACGGCACGAGCTAATCGTCATCCTGTGTCCACAAACAGAAATGCTTTAGAAGGCAATCTTAAAAAGACATCTTGGCTGGACACAGTGGCTCACGCCTGTAATCCCAGCACTTTGGGAGGCCGAGGTGGGCGGATCACGACGTCAGGAGATGGAGACCATCCTGGCCAACATGGTGAAACCCCATCTCTACTAAAAATACAAGAATTAGCCAGGCGTGGTGGCAGGTGCCTGTAATCCCAGCTACTCAGGAGGCTGAGGCAGGAGAATGGCCTGAACCAGGGAGTCAGAGGTTGTAGTGAGCCGAGATCGTGCCACAGCACTACAGCCTGGTGACAGAGCGAGACTCCATCTCAAAGGAAAAAAAAAAACCAAAAAACAAAAAGACATCTTAAAAAACAAAATATAAAGGATAGCCTATAGTCCCAGCTACTCAGGAGGCTGAGATGGGAGAATCGCTTGAGCCAGGAGTTGGGGGCTGCAGGTGACAGAGCAGGACCCTGTCTAAAAAATAAGAATAAACATGGCTGGCCGTGGTGGCTCACGCCTGTAATCCCAGCACTTTGGGAGGCCAAGGCAGGTGGATCACATGAGGTCAGGAGTTTAAGACCAGCCTGGCCAACATGGCAAAACCCCATCTCTACTAAAAACACAAAAATTAGCCAGGCATGGTGGCGCACACCTGTAGTCCCAGCTACTCAGGAGGCTGAGGCGGGAGAATTGCCTGAACCCAGGAGGCGGAGGTGGCAGTGAACTGAGACTGCGCCATTGCACTCCAGCCTGGGTGACAGAGTGAGACTCCGTTTCAAAAAAAAAAAAAAAAGAATAAGCAGACTCTGCCCAATGTTCGCTCTCAGAGGTTTTCCTTAATCAGAGTCTATGGGAAGAGTCCAGCCTTCCTGCTCTGAGACAGCTGCTGTCTAATGACGCAAACTTGCCTTTCAGCACCTAGGATGGCTGTGCCCCATCTTTGGAGAAGGAGGAAGATCATCTTCTGTGTTCTGTCCACATAAGGAAAGCATCCAGCATCAACCTGATCATCCATTGCCATTAGTGTGTGAATCCCTGTCCACACATGGCGACCGGCAACTCTGTTCCCAATCGCCATTAGTGTGTGAATCCCTGTCCACACATGGCGACCGGCACTGTTCCCAATCGCCATTAGTGTGTGAATCCCCGTCCACACGGCACTGTTCCTAATTGCCATTAGTGTGTGAATCCCTGTCCACACATGGTGACCGGCACTCTGTTCCCAATCGCCATTAGTGTGTGAATCCCTGTCTACACATGGCGACCGGCACTGTTCCTAATTGCCATTAGTGTGTGAATCCCTGTCCACACATGGTGACCGGCACTCTGTTCCCAATCGCCATTAGTGTGTGAATCCCTGTCTACACATGGCGACCGGCACTTCCCAATTGCCATTAGTGTGTGAATCCCTGTCCATACATGGCGACCAGCACTCTGTTCCCAATCACCACTTGCTATCTGCGATGCAGTTAATCTATGACCCTCCCGACAGGATGCTAAACTGCACTGAAACCACTCTGGTCTGAGCCAGCTGGAGGTGGCAGGAGCACTGGGCGACCACTCCAGAGCCTGCCTTCCCAGTGACGACACCTTGGGGAGCAGCACTGGACTTGTGTGCACAGTTTCTCCTCCAAAAGTGGGATAATAGTACCTACCCCATAGGGTTGTTTGTGGATTAAATGAGATAATACTTTATGAAGATACTAGGTTCAGGGAATATTCAGATATCTTGTTGCAATAAAGTTGGAGGGAGCTGAGAGGTTTCCAGAAGATGGCAGATTCAGCCTGCCCAGAGAGGGAACCAGTGGCGCTGTGTCCCAGCCACCGTAACCCCTGACGTGGAGTCAGGGGCGCGTGAGGTGCACACGGATGATTCTGACTTCTGTGAACCAAGTGGCTGATTCTAACGTCAGTTAAGCCACAGCTGATGGCTTGCTGTCTTGGCGTTTACCCATAAAGAAATCCCCAAATGACTCCAGGACACACATTAGGACCGCCATTCCGTGCCAACCAAGCGTTTGGAAGCAGATGAATCAATAACCCACAGCTGGGATCAACACTACAGGTCATGTTATATACATGTTAAAACACGCAGTTTTTCTGTGATGCATTTTGAGCTTTCTTTAGGCTTATTTTTAAAATCTTCTTATTTTGAGATACAAAACTTAAGCATCAGAGATTTCAGGTCAGAAGAGGCTGATCACAGCTTAGGTGGCAAAAGAAAGTTCCACACAGGACTAGGTAACGTGCACTGCGGCGGGCTCCCGACTACAGGGACTGCACGCTAAAAAGTTATAAAGTGGCTGTCTTCTCTGGATCACAGCACAAGCGTCTCATCTATGTGCCCGTACAATCGGGCCACTCATGGTAACTCAGTGACAAAGACTTCCTCAGAGGTTGCTTCTTATCAGCTATTTGTGCTCCCTGGCAATTTCTGTGGCCTTCACAGGGCAGCTAGACTTTCCCGAGTCCTGTGTTTCACCCAGGAAGGAAACTCAGGGAGGGCCCAGAGTGCAGCGTGTGAAGCAGCTCGAGGTGCGCTGGAAACCTGACGCAAGGTGCTGCCCCGCTGGCACCCAGGCTCAGCTGGGCCGGGTTCCCCAGGCTCCAGGGAGAAGCGAAACCGGCAGCACGCACTGGCAGGCGCCGGCTCCCCAAGGGCCCACTCTGTAGAGTGCAAAAGGCCTTAGAACAGGGATGCCCAATCTTTTGGCTTCCCTGGGCCACATCGGAAGAATTGTCTTGGGCTACACATAAAATACACTGACACTAACGACAGGTGATGAGCTAAAAAAGATTAAAAAAAAAGCAAAAGAAATCTCATAATGTTCTAAGAAAGTTGACGAATTTGTGTTGAACCACATTCAAAGGCATCCTGGGCCGCATGGAGCCTGCAGATTGGACAAGCTTGCCTTAGACGAAAGGTGGACACAGCTCTCATCTCTCAGTGAGAGGCCTGAAGGCCCAGAGCTGCTCCTCTTCTTGAGGCCTTCCCTGGTCAGCACAGACTAGAACATTCTCTGCTGACACAGCCGGACCCTCAAAGGCTAACTTGAGTTGCCTGTGCACCCCGCGAGGCGTGGCTCTCACCCCCTCCCCGTGAGGCTGCCTGCGCGCCCTGCAAGGCGTGGCTCTCACCCCCACCCGTGAGGCTGCCTGCGCGCCCTGCAAGGCGTGGCTCTCACCCCCACCCGTGAGGCTGCCTGCGCGCCCCGCGAGGCGTGGCTCTCACCCCCACCTGTGAAAAACAAGTGCCTCTTGGTGGTCTCCTTTCTCTTCTCCAAACAGGGGTTCAGCAGACGCAGCAGCTGCAACACACGCTCCTCTCGCCGTGACTCCGTGAGGCAGGCGTCGTTCATGACGAGGTACGGGTAGATCTTGCCGTTGTGTCCCCGGATGTACAGCCGCCGGGCTGCGGTGTTGTGCTTCTGCACAATCTCTACCCGGGGCATAAACCTGCCAGAGCGAGAAGCCATGAGGACGCGCCCTGCATCTCTACCAGTCCTGGTCTTGAGAAGCAGCTAGGGATGTCCGAACTGTCACGGGAAAACGGACTGTGTAGGCCAGCAGTCGTTTATCAATTTATTTGTACCCTGCCTCACCCTGACGCGGTGGAAATGAGCCAAATATTTTCAATTCAGCAGCCCCGGACAGAAGTCAAGGAGGAGGGACAGCTGGCCAGGACAGGAGCCAGCTTTGGAGGAAAGGGCAGCTAAACTCTGGACGTATGGAAAAGCAGAGCTGTGTCTGGTTCAGATATAAAGACGAAACACATTTTTTGTTAAGAGAAACCTCTTCAAAGCCCTTTCTGCGTTTCAAATGAGATGCAGCATGCTCTAGGAAATGCTACGATTGTCTGATTCTGCCTGAATACTGTGCTTCGAGGATTTACAAAAGACTGGGACACACACTGTTTTGTCAAGTTCTATGGTGACTCAGAAGAAGGTCTGCTGAATGCAAACCCAGACTGCACTCAGGACAGCTAACCGGTCAGTGCGGGCAGAACTCCTAAAGTGCCTGACCACTTACATTCTAGAATCATCTTAGGTTCTCCCATGTCAGGGAATCTGAGTCCAAAATTCCACACAGGGTCCACCCTGGAGCTCCCGTGGGGCTCCATGCCCACGGACGCCGTGGGTGAGTTCTACCCACCAGGCTGGCCCACTCACCGCGCAATCTTGATGTAATAATGCGTTGGCTTTGGCATCAGAAACTCCCCGGGAATTTCCACTTCAGCTGTCTGTGCCGAGAAATTGCTCAAGAACCGGCACTTTTCCTCTATGAGGAAGAATTTGGGGAGTTGCTTGGTCTTGGCCTCCAAGATTTTGATCCACTTTTTCAACTTAGAAATAAGATTATGAAGCTTCATGGATCCTGGAACGCTGAAGTCAAAATCTTCAAAATAAAACATGATTAAAAACATTTTTAGTCATCTGGGCCAGTTCTAATTCACTGCAAAAAACAAAAACCAAAAACAAACAAAAAGAGCTCAAGCCCCTTCCAGCTACGAATTACATGTTTTGTTTGTTTTGAAACGAAGTTTCACTCTTGTTGCCCTGGCTGGAGTGCAGTGGCGTGATCTTGGCTCACTGCAACCTCCACCTCCTGGGTTTTAGTGATTCTCCTGCCTCAGCCTCCCAAGTAGCTGGGATTACAGACACCCGCCACCACGCCTGGCAAATTTTTTTTTTTTTTTTGTATTTTTAGTAGAGACAGGGTTTCACCATGTTGGCCAGGCTGGTCTTGAACTCCCAACCTCAGATGATCCGCCCACCTTGGCCTCCCAAAGTGCTGGGATCACAGGCGTGAGCCACTAGGCCCGGCCAAATTACACGTTTTATACATAGTGTGGAGCAAAACATTTTATATTCCTTGCTCCCCAAGAGGCTGACAGAACAAGAGAAGCCCTGTCAGAGACCTCCCACCACGTGGAGAGGAAGAGGAAGAGAGGGACCACCAGCCTGAAACCCCATCCCCAACCCCACAGGCCCTTTCGGGAATAATGCCGTGGAGGCAATGTCTACCTCCGTGTGTGAGGCTGGGGCCCTGGGAGACACAGGAGCCTGAGGGCGTCCTGTGAATCCCAACAACCAGGAGCCCGTGTCACCAGGGCCTGAAGACCAGCATCCAACAGCAACCCCGCCTCTGAGCATAAGTGTCACACGGAGCCCTAAGATCTCGTGTCAAAGCTGATAATGTAATCAAAGTGAGCCTGAGGCAGCAGAAAGGGCCACCCAGGAGACAGATTCTAAATGAGCCCTGAGAGGGCAAGATACCAAAATGGCAAAAGCCAAAAACATTTTTCACTGAAGCATTCAAAAATCCCTGGTTAATATATTTCTCAAAAATGTCTTTCTGTAAAAAAACCTCGACTTCCTCCCAGATGAGCACCAGTGCTGGAACGAGCCTCGCCACCCTAACTCACCAGGGCGACCAGAGGTCAGGACGAACCCAACCGCTTCTGCAGCAAAGCAGGGGCCCTGGGGGAGCCACGAGGAGGCGCCGTCCCCAGGCTGCCTCAGGGCTGGCGTCCTGAGCCCAAATGGAACGCTGGCTGAGCCGTGGCGGCAGACGTACCAGCTTAGAGCTTGGAGCACGCCGCTGAACCTCTCAGGGCCTCACTTTTCTAACCCATGGTAGATGAACAGGAATAATTTAACACCTACCCCATAAGGATGAAATTAAACAAGGCAGCGCACATGAGGCGCTTGGCATAACACCCAGCTGTTCGAGTGGCCTGACCATCCCTGCCCATGCATGATAACACCCAGCTATACAAGTGGCCTATTCCTGCCCATGTCTGAACTTGGCTGTTCACAAATGTCATCAGTTTCAGGAAAGCCAAAGTATTTTGTGTGTGTGTGTTTTTTCACAGCACTTGTCTGGTTTCCCTTTCATTTTAAGCTCTGGCACCTCCCTCCTCTGCATTCCTCACAGCGCCACGACTCCACACGGGCAGGTGCTGGAGAAGCCGCTGTGCACCAAGGTGAGATCTCCCAGCAGAGCTGCGAGGGACAGAGGCCACCGCCAAGGACGCAGGCCACCTCACTGTTTGTTCCCTCTCCACGCTGGACCAAGAAGGTGCCGCCAAGCTCATGCCTGATCTCTTTTTAACTTTTATTTTGAAATTCCTAGAGATTCACAGCAGGATGCAAACAAATTATACAGAAAGTCCCATGTACTCCTAACCCCATTCCTCCCACACCAGCATCCTATGCAAGCCAGTGCAATGCCAACATCAAAAAGCGACATTGGCACAATCCAAAGAGCTGATTCAGACTTTACCAGTTACGTGTGCACATGTGCGTGTGCACGTGTGTATGTGTGCGCACACCTCTGGTCATGTCATCGTGTTGCCTCGCAGAGCCATCAGCACAATCAGTTGTGAGCTGCACCATCAGCACAGGATGCCCTTAGTTTCCCTTCACAGC